GAGCTCCAGAGGCCCTTTGGAGGGCAGAGATGGTCCTGTTTCAGGCCTTAAGGAACTTCTGGGATGCCCGTTTTCCACCCTGCCCTTTGGATGTGAGGTAAGTGCAGTGTGGGCCCTGCTCTTACCTCACATCCAAAATGGGCCATGTGGAGGCTCCCGGGATGGGTGGGATAGTGTGGGAGAGGCCAGCTAGGGGTGGGATTTGTAGGTTCTCCAAACAGGCCATAATGTAAGCTATGGGTTTTCCCAAACTGGGGCAAACTCATAGAAGCCCACCCCTGCTACTAGGATTGATGAACTCAGGACTGTTGGCAACCACAGCCAAAGTTGGATGAGTATTGAAAGAAAAGTTGTCTCCTGTTGCAAATATACAAATAAATATCTGTTATTATAAATCAACTATAGGAAGAAGTGGATATCTGAAGAGAGAATGCACTAGTTCTGGAGTAAAAAACATCCAAAAGCAGACATAACAGAGCAGAGGTTGCCAGTGATCCAATATTTGAGAGGCTATCACAAAGAAGAAGGGGATCAATATATTTTCCAAAGCATCTAAAGACAAGATAAGCAACTAACAGAAACTAATCAAGGAGAGAAACAGTCTAATGGTGAGAAAAATTAACCAGTGGAATGTCTTGCCTTCAGAAACTGCAGGTGCTTCATCACTGGAGGCTTTAGAGGAAGAGACTGGACAGCCATTTGTCTGAAATTATGTAGGTTCTCCTATTCTAGCAGAAGGCTGGATTAGATGCAGGGGTGGGATTGAAAAATGTTAGCAACGGGTTCTCTGTCTGGTTGCTGGGTGGGCGTGGCCAAGGTGAGTGTGCCTTAAGCAGCCTCCTGCCTCATGGCAAGTGCAGGCATTTTTGCCTTCCCCAGGTTCTGGAGGCTTTCTTCAAGCCTCTGGGAGGGTGAAAATGGCCTCCCCCACATTTCTAGAACTTCCAGGAGGCCTGTTTTTCGCCCTCCCAGAGGGCCCTGCACTTACCTGGCATGATGAATGGGCCATGTGGAGACTCCTGGGAGGGGAGGGGAGGGCTAGCCAGCCCTTGCAGCTACCAATTCAGTGAACCAGAGTTAAAATTAACATCCAGTTCGTCCAAACCAGCTGAATCACACCCTTGATTAGATGACCTCCAAGATCCCTTCCATCTCTGTTATTCTATATTCTATATTCTGAGATCAATGTTAATGTTTATACAATGTAACAGTAGCAGAACTGGAAAAATTGCAAAGATATATTGAGGGCAAAGAATGCAAAACCCTGTCAGAAACAACCAGTGATGTGCGGTGAGCTTTATGGCTGGTGAGGCANTCAACTTCTACCCTCAAAACGATGCTATAGGACACTGCACACCAAGACAACTAGACACAAGAACAGTTTTTCCCGAATGCCATCACTCTGCTAAAGAAATGATTCCCTCACCACTGTCAAACCATTCACTAAGGCTGCATTGCTATTACTATTAGTCTTTTCATTGTTCCTATCACTCATCTCCTCCCACTTGTGACTGCAGGACTGTAACTTTGTTGCTTGTATAAATATTGATATTGATTGTTTCCTGGTTGTTTATTTGTACCCTATGACTATCATTAAGTGCTGTAATTTGTGATTCTTGATGAATGTATCTTGTCTTTTTATGTATACAGAGAACATATGCACCAAAGACAAATTCCTTGTGCATCCAATCACACTGGGCCAATAAAGAATTCTATTCTATTCCATTTAAGGTTGAAGCTCTGGGGGTTTGAGGATGTAACAGCAGAGTCAGGTAGAGCATTCCAGGTGTTGACCACTTTGTTGCTGAAATTGTATTTTTTGCAATCATGTTTGGAGCAGTTTACCTTGAATTTGTATCTCTTGTGTTCTCGTGTATTATTGTGGTTGTCAGTGTCCCCTTATAGTTCCATCTTGACTTTTTATTTTACTATAATCTGTACACATCTGTGATGACCCAGGGATAGGCCCAGAAGCAAAACAGCTGGAAAGAAGGCTTAACTCCCCATTATTGCTCCAGCTTTTCCCCCAAAGTCCCACTGATCACTGCAAGTCCAGGAGCCAATCTCTAAACAAGCACCTCCAATAGTTCCTGACTGCTATTAGTCCAGAGGAGCAGCACAGTTCTGAGAGCAGTCACAGTTTAGGGAATTTGTTTCAGGGAATCCTCATCACAGGAAAAGTTCAATGGGACTGCAAAACAACTTGGAGTAGAACTGTGTTGCTGAGAACTTGCACATAGCCAGGCCAGGCAAGCAAGGCAAGCAGGGTAAAACAATCAGGGCAAGCAAGACAATCAAGCAAAGCAAGCAGGACAAGGCAGGACAAGGCAAGCAAGGCATGCAGGGCAAGTTGGGCAAGGCAAGCAGGGCAAGCAAGGTAGGCAAGCAGGGCAAGAAAGGCAAGCTGGGCAAGGCAAGCAGGGCAAGCAAGGCAAGCAAGGCAAGCAGGCAAGGCAAGCAGGCAAGGCAAGCAGGGCAAGGCAAGCAGGGCAAGGAAGGCAAGCAGGGGAAGACAGGACAAGGCAGGACAAGGCAGGACAAGGCAGGACAAGGCAGGACAAGGCAAGCAAGGCAAGCAAGGCAAGCAAGGCAAGCAAGGCAAGCAAGGCAAGCAAGGCAAGCAAGGCNTATGGAACTCTTCTGGAAAATTTCTTTGTTCATATGTGCCTTCAATTTATCATAGTTGTGGTTGTAACATTATTCTGTCTCCTTTAACAGTTTTCTGAAATTCTTATGTTCCTTCCTAAAATTTTTGTCATTTTTGGCTTTGACATGACCATATCAAGTATATCATTTTGTATGCTCCCTGTATGTCACACCTCCCACTTTCATTCCCACATTGAGGCAATATTGTTCATTTTTCTATTATGTAATCCTTTTTATTATCTAACCTGAATTTCAAACTGTAGTTTCAATCCATTGGTTATGGTCCGGCCCTTCAGGTCTATTCTTTTGTTTGTATGCCAATCCTTTAGATAGCTGAAGGCTACTATCACATTTCTCCTCAGTATTCTAATCTGCAGGCCAAATATACTATTCCTTTAACCATTTCTTATAGGATTTTGTTTCCTGTCTTCTTACATCCTCTAAACTTATTCCAGTTGTTGAGTTACAATTTCAGGAATTCTCGGCAGCATCAATAGTGACCAGAGATTCATAATATCTGGGGGGAAGGCACAATTTTCTTTCTTTTTTCTTTTTCCTTACTATTTAAAGTCACTTTTGCCAGATGGATCAGTTATTTAGTTTTTCACTAAGCCAGTTGTACAGGCTTCTTTCAATGCTATAAAAGCAGACTTTTATTTACACTATTTTTCCTGTCCAATCTTCTTTGGGGATTTTTTACTACTTGCTCAAGCAGAGCAAGTAGTAAAATTAGAATAATGTAGGGAGCAGAATGGGGAATCCCTTCAACTGATGGATGCCATTCAGTTAGCAGACAACTTGATACAATTACCTCCCAACTGTTTTCTTGGAATCCAAGGTAGCATGTTTGGGAGTCTGATCTCCATTTTTCTCCACAACATCTGTCAAGGTAGTTGGGCATATAGTCACCCAATATGCTCTCATGGCTAAAGCAGAGCAAGTCTAAATCTTCTTGATTCTAAATCATCATATAACCCAGAAGTGATTCTCTAATATATATAGAGGGATGATTTAACTTGTTTGATAGGAGAAATCTTCAAAACATACTATCGATGCTGCATGTCTGGCAACCAAGTTTTATCATCCAGGTTTTCACCATAGCTCATAAATTACAATCTATTCATCAAGGCATTTAGATAAAAGATACAATGAAATTTATTGTTTAATTGATTTGCAAGGCTATAATTGCCATCCTGTCAAAGATGCTGTTGACATCTTTGAAAGAGCACATGAAGGTTAAATTAAGCTGATTTATTACTAAAAGCNAGACCACCTAGATTAAGGAAAGATGGACCATATAGGTCAGGGGTGTCAAACTCATTGTCACAGTGGAATCATGTGACGTGTCGGGACTTTTTTCCCCTTTCACTAAACTGGGCGTGGGCCAATGGTTGGTTGCAGGATGTATGCCCTGGTACGGGCGTAACGGTGCCTGCTGGGAGTACCGGTTACCGTTCTGGTACGATGCTCCAGAGGTCCCGCCCACTCGCTATCCTTACCTGTATTTGAGCTCTTTGGCGCTTCCGCACACGGAACATACGGCGCCTGCGCGATGCTCAGCCGAGCAACTGGAGCGTCGTGGAGGTGTTGCGGAGCGTTGCAGGAAGTAAGGATGCATGCACGCATTGTGCATGTGTGCGCACATGCTGTGCATGTTCATGTGATGGACGCCGGGCCACATTGCATCATACCGGTTGCACCAGGATCCAGAACCCACCACTGGCATGGGCGTAGCCAGCATGTGATGCATCCAGCCTGCAGACCGCAGGTTGAACAGCCCTGATATACGTAGGTGGATTGCTTGGACCATTAAGCTGTTCGGTATAAGATTGGTCTTATTCCTATCTTAGATTGCTTGAGTTTGATTGTATAGGTGCCGTTCGCCATAATATAGCTATGCAAGGGAAACCCTTTTCCCCCCTTTCTTGCTATAAAGACTCAATTCCTTTATACACTTTCTGGTGAGGACATTTTCTGGCAATTGTTGATGACAAAGTGAAAGTGAGTGGAATTATTCCTCCCCCCCTCAATTTATTTAGCTTTCTTTATCTGCAATAGGTTATGCTTGCACTACAGTAAATACAATACATATTGCATGATAAAAGCTTTTAAACTAATTGATTATAATCGGAGTGCCTAAAGTTACAATTCCCCAACCTATAAAAGAATATAGCATACTTGTGTGGGTTGGAGAGCTCATTAACTTCTTCAGTAAAGCTAGGGGCTCACTTGCAACTAACCAGAAATCCATAGGCAACATCCTTTTCTCACATGTCCCCATGCCATTGCTTCATCTCATCTTCAACCCATGCATATGTCGATCTTAAGTCATTTGTAGTTCTTCCATTACCGAAATGAGGCTTTCCCCTATTAGTCAACAGCCACCCATAGTGGTTTTCACAAAAGTAAAATCTGATGTGCCTGCTCGCCATCCTGTTAGCAATACAGTCAGACAAACAATGCAATCCAGACAAACAGGATAACAGAATAACAGAGTTGGAAGGGACCTTGGAGGTCTTCTAGTCCAACCCCCTGTTCAAACAGGAAACTCTATACCACTTCAGAGAAACGGTTGTCCAATTGCTTCTTAAAAACTTACAGTGTTGGAGCAGTCACAATTTCTGGAGGCAAGCCATTTACATTGATTAATTCTTCTAACTGTCAGGAAATTTCTCCTCAGTTCTAAGTCGCTTCTCTCCTTGATTAGTTTCCACCCACTGCTTCTTGTCTTGCCTTCAGGTGCTTTGGAGAACAGCTTGACCTCCTCTTCTTTGTGGCAGCCTCTGAGATATTGGAACACTGCTATCTTGTCTCTCCTAAAGGTTGAGATCAGTCTGGCTACAGGTAGTCCTCAATTTATAGCAATTTACTTAGGAATCATTTGAAGTTACAGCTGCATTGCAGGGAAACTCAGTTCTTGCACTTACAAGTGTTACAGTATCCCATGGTCATGTGATCAAAATGTGGCTGCTTGGCAACCTGCATGCTAGCTTCCAGCAAGCAAAGTCAATGACAAAGCCAGATTTGTTTAACAACCACATAATTTGCTTAACAGCTCTAGCAAAAAAAAAACAAGTAAAAAAAACCACATAATCCAATTCACTCAACAACTGCTTTGCTTAGCAATGGAAACTGTGGTTGTAGTTGTGGTCAAAAGTCAAGCACTACCTGTATTTTTAGGCTTGTACAGATATATGCCACCCCGGGACATTCTTTCCCACTGCTATTCTTTTCTGAGTTTCACCTTATGGGCTGGATGTAGCTACAGGCCACCTCTTTGTTAGGTGAGCTTGCAAAGTGAATGAGCTTTGATAGATGTACTCTCTTGCTTGTCATGGTGGTGGCGTGATTGACAGTTGGTTGCCCACCAATGGTGACATTGGAAAAGGGGAGAAGAGCAAAATCACATTGTTTAACATGTCTTTAGGTATAAACTAAAACAGGCAACACATGCAGCATAGGGATTAGGAAAAGGCAGCAAATTTGATACCAGGATTCTTTTCAAATAACTCAGGGATGGCTTGATAACACTCTGCTCCAGCATGATGTAATAAACATATATCTAGATAGCTTACAATAGAGTAACCCAAGCTCCAAAGCTGTTTATTAGCTCACAACCAAAGTTGGTTTTGAGAAAGTTTCTTACTGATATTCAAAGATTTTCATGAAGAGAAGAATTATGATACTCTAATTCAATGTATCCTATCTGGACAAGTTATCTCATTTCCATGCCTGACCTGCACTGATTTTCAAGTAGTGTCAATTGCAAAATTAGCAAATATTAGAGAAGTTCACCCCAGGAAGGAAGGCATTGAATCCTGGCAGCATTTGATGGTTGTTGCCTTTAGCCTAATTTTGCACTGAGCTTTCCTGAACTGATATAAGATCATTTTAGTTTCATTGTTACAAAAACATATTCTTTTTTTGAATGCTTTTTTCAACAACCTGTTCAATATTTTTGCACTGCAGCTCTCTTTTAGGTGCAAATGTATGCCTCTCTCTTCCTCCCTCCCTCCCTCTCTCTCTCTCGCTCTCGCTCTCTCTCTCTCGTTCTCCCTCTCTCCATCTATCACCTATCAGTGTATGTATAGCTCTCTTTGTGAATGCCCTAAAAAAAACTATTAGAGACTTAATGCTCTGTGGTTTTTCCCACACTCAGTAAACAATGATTTCTCCTTGGCACTTCACTTGAGTGAAAAACTGTATAATAGTTTCCATTTTCAGACAACGTTCATATTTTTTTCACAAAGATATGGCATCTCCGATTTAATTTTCTTAGAGTTTTCTTTTTAATTTTCTTCCTAACAGGGAGAACAATTAATGAGTCTTGCCTTCAGAAGTTTTAGGTGCTTCATCACTGGAGGTTTTTAAGAAGAGGTGGGACAGTCATCTGTCTGAGATGACATAAGGTTTCCTGCTTGAGCAGGGGGCTGGAGTAGAGATGCCCAAGGTCTACTCTGACTGGCAGTATAAGCAATGAAGTTTATTGCACCCGTTTTACTGCATCAGCTTTGTTCAAGAAATGAAAATGTTGAAATGTTCAAAGTCATCAACAGAAGACATCTTATATATAGTTCCTGCTATACCTGTTGTGCTGAGTCCCAGCGCATATATCAAATGCTTGAGACATTTAAGACAATACTGTTTTAAGAATTACTAAAGTTTCTATTACTGAAGTGCTCTCGGAGGTATCCAGATGCTCTTTCAGCTCAGATGGTAGAATACATACTTCATCTGCAGAAGAGCCCTCCACTCACTCTCTCCCTTCCCCCCTCTCTGGTGTGTGTGTGTGTGTGTGTGTGTGTGTGTGTGTGTGTGTGTGTGTGAAAGAGAGAGAGAGAGAGAGAGAGAGAGAGAGACAGAG